GTGGCGCTTTGGCCCAGAGGCAATGTCTCTGTCATTGGTGTGGAACTCCAGGGTTCACCTCCTGGGCAAGTTCGAATCCGGTTAGGGCGGTTGGTACCTTCCAGTGGACTCACCACCTGCAGGAAGGTTTAGGGGGGTTGTGCAATGTGAAACTGCCGCCCCCCATGAAATAGACTCAATGTCGTGGCGTGTTTCAGCCAATGGGAAAGCATGTGAACTGAAAACAGTTTTTGAGGAACTACAGTAAGATAATCATGAGAACAAATAGATGACCTAGTTTTATGACAATGAGGTTCAAGTTACAATGAGGTCCAACTTGATTTTTTGAAAAATGTCTACAGCTTATTACGTATGCGGTGAGTGACTTTGTAAAAGCAGGACTGATCCTTTAGTTTACAGGCTTTAAAATACATCTGCAGGCTCAGCAGGCTTTAATGTCTACAAGGATTAGTAACAAGTGTGTACAATGTAAATGTTGCAGCAGGTCTTGGGCCTGCAGCCTGAGGAGAAAAGGTGACAAAGATGAGAATTTTAAATAGGCTGTTACATAAGAGCGAGTTAATAGAAGAGAGACTGGTTGTGCAGGTACATGGGGAAGAAAAAAAACACATACACACAAAACCATGCACACATGCATGTCTGAACACAAACTCAAAAAACATTCTTTTAATTTCAGGACGTTTCTCCATCTGAGAGTTGATTTAAAGTGGATGAACCCTGTGACCCACCTCCGGTTTAGACACAAAAAGCAGGTTTCTTTACTTAAATAAGCCTTTAATTATGGTAGACAATTTAAAAAGCTTTTAGTCATGTTTATTTTGTAAATGTATTGGTAATTGGTTATTTTTGACAGTTATTTTTGTCCACTTCTGAGCCATACCTGAACTATGTCCCCAATATTAGCTATATTTGTTTTTCAAGACCCAAGTGTTTGAGGTTATGTTATGTGTTACTGCAAGGAGGAGGAGGAGGCAGGAGAGGATCAGAAAGAGGGATTAGCCATGTTGTGTAACGAGGAGACGTCAATGAGACGTTCACCAATCAACAGACCACATGACACTATAACAATGAGATTCAGTTACAGATTGCTTAGATGTTATGGTGACATTTTGGTGAGTCTGTTGTTGCAGAGGATGTTGCAAAAGAGTGTGACAAGAAAAAAATATTCAATAATGTCCTAACCAGGTTCATAACCAGGGCATCTGGTTACCTGCCATCCTCATCTTTATCTTTTTTTTTTTAACTCAACTTTCTGTAACTGCCTAAAACTATTCAGGGTCTCAGGGGGAGAGGGAGGATGTAATCCCTGCAGTTATCAGACAGGTGTGGGCCACAAAAGAACAAACACAAATCCCACAAATTCAAATTCACAACCAAAGTCAGTTTATAGTGAATAGTTGTTCTATAGTTGTGCACGTGTATAGACTGTGGGAGGAAACCTGAGAGGACACACAAACATACTGAAATGGAAATTGTTAAAATGAAAAAAGTTATAGACAGACAGACA